GACCTCACAGTCCGTTTGAACCACAGGGTCAGTGGTTCAAACTCGCTCACCATGCCTCAGAAACCCTATATGGAGTCACTACAAGTCGGAATGACTTCAACATCATTTAACAATAACATTGTCAATGTAGTTAACATTTACAGAGCAGATGGTTAGTTTTACACTCAACAAAATATACACTTAGTTTCATCTCAGTGACTACAATCCCCTGCATTCTGAATCTTACCCTTGGATAAATGCTGATCTTTTGAACTCAAATGGTTGACCATTCTCTGGTGTTCATACATCACTAATGTTGGTGTCCTCCTATAGTCTTGTGCCAGGGGGTGAGTTCAGTTCCAGACCTGAAGGGTCACCGAGCACCATCGTCTCCGGGTTCCATCCATCTCTATATGAGCAGTTTTTGTTAAGTGGCTGAGGACTCTTAAGAGTTCCAACTCTATGAGTTCAAACTCATAGCGACCCTGTGTAGAGTTTCCAAGGAGCAGCTGGTGGGTTTGAACTGCCAACCTTATGGTTAGTAGTCCAGTGCTTATTCTACAGCTTTACTCCAGGACTCCTCCTGCCCACAGTTTCTCCCACTCTACCCAGGACTTTCTACTGTGCAGTTGGTACTGGTCTGAGGGTCACGGAGACTGATGATCCCGTGGGCCATTAGTCCACTAAACTAATTGTTTGGAAGCATCTTCAATTTTCTTCACTCTTTTTTCCTCCACACAGGGAGAAACCAAGAGGTGCACCTAGTTTTAACTTCCTGAGAATCTGCCATGCTGACTTCCCCAGTTATTTTTTATGATCTTGACATTGTCTGCAGTGCGGTCTGTAATCTGGGTTTAAATGACTCATCTTACTTGTTTCTGATAATTTAAACTTTTGTGTTAATCATTGTAAACCTACAGAAAAATTGCAAGAATAGCATGGAGTCCTGTAGACCCAGGTTACCCAGATTCACAAGTTGTTAGCATTTGGTCCCCTTTGGCCTGTTGGCCTCTCTCGCTGTCTTCACATTTTTTTCCTCCTCAGTCCCTTGAGAATAAGTTGCAGATACGTGTTCTTATGCCTAAATACTTTGTGTATCTCTTAAGAATAGGGACATTGTCATAAGTAACCAGAATACAGTGATCAAAATCACTAACTTCACATCGATCTGATACTCTTAGGGAATTCATAGCTAGCTTTCCTATTTTGCTGCTCCAGTCGTGTCTTCCCAGTCAGGACCCCACCCTGGATCCTGGTACATGAAGTTGTCATAAGAGTCCCTTGTGAATTCATGATCTCAACCTCAGAAAGACTTGGGGGGCTAGAGCCGCTCCATTGCCCTGGCTCTGCTCTTCCTTCCACTGCTCTCCGTCTTCACTGACAGTTGGCCTGGACTCCCTGCTCGGTCACCCTGCTCACCTGAAGTCTGGTCTTGGCTGGCATGCCCTGTAGCCCCGTGGGCTCTCGGGCCTTGATTCTAGTTCTTTAGCTCCTCATGAGAACTCCCTCAGTCTTTCTGTGCTCCCCGCTCTGTCTCCTCTCGTCCATCCTCCCATTCACTCAGAGGTCCACTCCTCACCAGGCTCTTCACTCGCGTCCCAGGGGTTTGTCTTGGGCCAACCGTAGCTGTCCTCTCATAGCACCTGACACACTTGGTGTGTTCTTTCCTGGCGCCCAGGATACTGCTTAGTGTCCCTCCCCTCCCCTACTGGGTCAGCCTTCTCTTCTCCCCTCTTCTGGTCCCTGGTTGAGGGAGCAGAGCCCCATAAGCCAGTGGGGTGGTTTCCCCAAGTCCTGTCCCTCACTCCCCTGCCCATGGTGGCAATCAGTTGCCTAACCTGGGAGGAAGATGGTCCCCTGCATGGACAGGTGTCCGGCTGCAGACTGACCGGCTTTGCTAGTTCCAGCTCTGGTTCCGTTACCCCTCGAACCTTCCAAAACACAGCAGCTGTCTCTTCTTGTCCTAATGAGCCTTTTTATTCCTGTTGTCATTGTAGTGGCGTGTGAGGAGTAAAAGCCTGGTAAAAACATGTTTCTGTTTGTCTGCTCTCCATCTCTGTGACTTGGTTCCACTTGTGTTCCTGAGCCTTGTGTCTGTGGTGGAGTGTTCAGCCCACTTGGTGGGTTTGGGTGGCAGAATAAGTGGCAGTATTTTTCTGCCCTGTTTTGCTTTTGCCTTTATTCTTAAACACTTTACCTTCATTCTTTCTTTCATTCTTTATGTGTTTTTTGTTTCTGGGCCTTAAATTGGAAGTCTATCTTTCTTGTTTTCTAACAAATGCACTTAAGGCATATTTCTGTCTAGTGCAGTAACGAACACCTCCCACAGGCTAGGGTATAATGTGCTTATTGTATCTCCAGTCTCAATGCCTCGTTTTTAACTGGACATTGGTCTCTTGGTGTCTGCTACACAGGACTTCCCCTCTCCTTTCTGCCTTCTCAGTGACAGCTCATTGTCCCTCTTGGTATAGCATGTGGTAACGAAGGTAGACAGGCCTAAGAAGATGTCCCATTGTGACTGCTTATATAGTCAGTGTTTCCAAGGTCCACATGCTTCTGGAAGGAATGTATGTTCTCCTTTGAAGAATTCTGTGCTCCGCCAGGCCACTGGTTTGTGAGAGACCAGGGAGATGGTGACACCCCAAGACTGGATTTGCCCTGGCTCCTTGGGGTGGTCTCTGAATTTCCAAGCTTTGTGAGGTGTCTGAAGTTCATGCCTGTTTGCTTCTCCAGTGGTTTGCTTTATCAATTTAAGGTGTTGTTTTTGTTTTCTTTCGCTCTTTGCCTTGAAGTCTCGCTTTTCTGATATATTTACTCCACTAGCTTCCTTCTTCTTACTAACTTCTAGCATAGTTTCCTAGCATCTATTTGGAACTATCTTTTTCCCCCCACTAACAATGAGATATTATTAGCAGTTTTCTCATATTTCTAAATATGATGTGGTGACTCTAGTCAGACGTCATCTTAAGGGGTTTTGATGAACATCCCATAAAACTCAGTACACATTCTTGGCCGACAGCAGAGTAGTGGCCATTGCTCCTTAGGCCTTGGCCCAGTGGGGGTGGGGGGTGGGCAAGGCCCACATGTTTCACTGTCCCACAGACACAACTCCTTCACGTCCCAATGAGTTGGCATAGCCCATGATTCCAGGGGACACCTCAAGGGGCTCATGGACCTACAGCTTGCCCCCGTTTCCTGCAGAACTGCTGACAATAGAGACAAATCTCCGGAGTTGGCCTCCTCATTCTGTGACTCTTGTCTAAGAGATGATTGTTTTCTTAATTGTTTCATATTCTAAATAAATAAAGGTAAATTCTATTTTGCCAAATATGTTGTTGCTGTTAAGTACTGTCGAGTCAGTTCCAACTCCTAGTGACCCTGTGTAGGGTTTCGAGGAGCAGCTGGTGAGCTTGAACCACTGACCTTGCAGTTCAACCTGATCTTGCAGTCCAGTGCATTAACCTGCATTACCACACCAGGACTCTGCCAAATATTGACAAAGTGTTTTACATTTGAGCTTTAGGATTCAGGATATATAGGGAGTTATTAAAAGATGCCATATCAAAATATGGCATGACCTTTTATGACCCTAAGACCTTTTCAAGTTTGGGGGTGGGATTCGAGTCTCTTTGTCAGAGCAGCAGACAGCAGATCTGGCAGACAGCTTTGGCTAGGAAGCCACTACTGTGTATGAGCTGTACCACAGTCACTTCGGCCACCCAGAAATGAGAGTGACGGCTGCAGAGGAAGACCAGTGTCTCACCTCTCAGACAGGCTCGGGGGGAGCATAAGGGGGCTAGTGCCTGGTGGACACAGAGTGTGGGTCTGAGGAGATGAAGAGTCTGGGAAGAGGTGGTGGTGAGGGCTGCACAATTCAGTTACCTCCCACAGAATCTCCCAGACACGGGTGCGTGAGATGGCAGACTCAGTGCTGCAGGTTAATGCAAGGTTGGTTTGAATCACAAGGTTGGCAGTTCAAACTCACCAGTCGCTCTTCAGAAACCCTATACAGGGCCGCTATGAGTCGGAACCGACTCCACAGCACTTCATAACAACGTATCTTTATAGCATATAGATTTAGTAGTGTAAGAATACTATGCTTTAAAAAAAAAGAGTCTGTAATGGAAATTTTCATTTTCAAACATGCAAAAAAGTACAGAGACAAGAGTCTGAACTCCCTGTTTCCCTGTAACTTGACTTCAGCTGTCATTACGTTTTATCTTCACTCCCCTGTGGATCATTTCCATGCCATTCCACACATCAGTCATAAATGGGCCCCTCAAAAGGGGAGAGGGGGTGTTACAAACAGACCCCCACATCATTATTGCGCCCACACAACCCCACAATCATTCTTTGATAGCAGTCTGCCCCCATGGATCCAGTTGGCTTAAATGTAGCTCTTATTTTTTATAAGTAGCTGTTTATACTTGACGTCTTTGAGTCTGGATTTTTGAATTGGAGCTTTGAAATCTCTTTGGATATAGTAAGTCCCCGCCCTCCTTTCTTGCCACTGACTACTTGCAGAAAGGAGCGTTGGTTCTGTGGAGTCTCTCACACCCCTTGTCTGGAGCTCTGGCGGTGCTTCCAGGGTGGTGACCCCGGGACTTGTTGAGATGGGGTTTCTGCTTCTCCCTGGGCAGTAGGCATCTGGGGGCGAGGGGTCCTCCCTGAACTGAAGATCAGTCTGTGCCTTGGGTGGTCTGCCTGACCCAGCCATCACAACAAAGACACAAACATGGCTGCTTTTTGTTGGTTGGTTGGTTTAATAAGATTTCACAGTGTGGGCAGACATCCAGAGAATTTTCTTGAAAAAAATTTAAATACATGGAAAAAGTATTGGCAATTTGGGAAGATGTTTGATACTCTGCCCCCTTAGCAGGTGTGACAACCCTGAAATGTTCTGTTCTGTCGTAGTTTGCCATGCTCTCACTTCCAGTCTTGTGTCCTTTTGAAGATAGCAACTCTCTTAGATGAGGCATGTTTACGAATTTGGTACATTCATGATCGTGTCTCGGCTTTAGGAATTTGAGAGTGTTTTCTGTGGGAAAACAGGCAGAAGGCTAAAGTTGACCAGACCAGACTCCTTGGTGACGTGTCCTGCACAGGAAAGTCTACAGAGCAGCCCAGCTATGGAGATCAAGTGATCTGGACTGGACGGTGGCTCTTCCAAAGTCAATGGCTCCACCACCGTGACCCACAGTGCTTCCCGCCATCCTGGAGCCCAACTCCAATTGGAACGCCAAAGTGACGTGGCGCAAGTTGAGGAGACTCCAGTAGGGACTTTGAAAGTACGTTTTGTAAAAATATTTCTCTAGCACAAATTATTTACCCATTCATGTCCACTTAGACCATTTGGGGATGAAGACATCTTGACAACAATTAGTAATTTTTCAATTATCTGTGTGATTCCATCATGTTTTCTCAACATGAAAACTTGAAAATTTAACACCCTTTGTAATTGGTGTAAAGAGTACATGGCTTTGACTTATTTCACTTGCAGTTTAAATATACCCATATAGCAATTGGAACGAGTTACAGTTTAAATATGCCCA